TTCCTTCATTTCCAATGTTTTGTCAATTTCTTAAATACCCAATAAAGGGGGTGCATGGGTGCCTCAGTCGGTTGAGCGTCCAACTCTTGATTTGGACTCAGGTCATGATCCCAGGGTCATGGGATTGAGTTCCTCATCAGGTTCTATGCTGATCATAGAGCCTGCTGGAGGTTCTCTCTCTCTCTCTCTCTCTCTCTCTCTTGCTCTCCCTCTGCCCCTCTCCCCTGCTCTCTCTCTCTAAAATAAATAAATACCCCAAAAAGACAGTGGCAATAAATTATATAATCTCCTACACAAATCTCTGCATCATGTCATTTTTCCCATTAAGTTCAAAGCTCCATAATTCCTGGTAAATATGGGGAAAGGGAGGCTATTTTTTAGCCTGTATATGTGTTCTCCAGTTTCATCTCAAAAATAATATATAACAATGAGCTTGATTTCAGAAGTCAATCTATTCAACTTAAGATGTGTTAGTGGAGTAAGGGGAGAACTTTTATTTTCACAAAAAAACGATCAATCACCTTTGAGGAATTTGACCGTGGTGCAAATTTTATAAATGTGACCATTATGACTGAGGCACTAGGGTGGATAGACAGCCAACCCAAGTGAAACAAGAGAATAAGATGATGCTAATATTTGTTCATCTTAGGTTCTTAAAATAATATTTCTCTGATGGGTCAGATCAAGAAAATGACACCTGTAATTATTCCAAGATACTAACATTTTAAGGGAGTTATCTTATGGATTGTGCTAGTGTTTTAAAGCAAAAACATAATGACTAGGAAGCACACATCTAGAACATGAAGGTTGCATTTCCTATTGAGGAGGCATTTTTAATAACAATGAGGATATTCTAGTCCTCAGTTTATGTGGAAAAACAAAGGGAGTCGAAAGGAAATCCAATGGGAAAGATGGATGTGTTGACAGAATCACAAACCCAGACCAGTGGGAGAGGACAAAGCTGGGCAGATTAATTCCTTTCTCTCCCCTGGGACCACTTCAGCTCCTGTGCACATCCTTCCAGAGGCATCTGCTGACCGACTGCTGATGCAGGCTCATCAGACTCTCACAGACTCAGCTGGGCTGAGTCCTCGGCACAGCTCCGCACAAAGCACAAACCAGAACAAGTCATTCCAGGAGGAAAGGATGAAAACCCCCCAAAGTCCTCACCAAAGTTACAACACGGGCACTGCAAGGGCACCCTCGCCCCCTCGACACCCCTCTTTGGCAGCAACAAACCGCACAAACCTTCCAAATGTTAAGTTTCTAACAAATTGGATTCAACAATCATTTGGTTAATTGAAAATGATTAAATTTTCAAATACTTTCTTACAGAGACAGTCTATGGATTAGCACGTACCATAGAAAGAATCCTAAGATGGCCGTCATATATGGCCGAATGACAGCATATCAGGAATGAACACTCTATTATACAAAGAGAGGGAGGAGGAGAGTGATCCTTCTACATTTCCAGTGCTCTGATGGAAGAGTAATTTTTCAAGAGTATGAATTTGTGCCACAGATATAGTCCAAAATTAATATTTTGTATGCTAGGCAGAACTTGGTTGACTCGTTCCCCAAATAAACAAATACTGAGCAATTAACAGATACAAAGCACTGCACTGAGCATTATCCCCCTTGGAGGACACAGAAGTCTATGTCTTTAGATTATGAAACCATAAATCCAAAAAGATTTTGTTTGTTTAAAATTACAAAGACTAAGGAGAACAGCAGCAGATTTCTACACAGATAAGGAGGGATAATAAAGTGCATTGGACTCCAACAATTAATGAGACAGAACAAATAGCAAGAGGCACAAGCAGCAGCAGGGAATTTATTTTTAGCTCCAACATTAGGTAACGTCATTACAAGCACGATTAAATCCAGCAACAAGCTGCCAAAATGACTGAGAAATTGCCATCGCTGGAGAGATGTGAGACTGCACGGAGGGACACCAGACAAGGGCAGCCTGAGGATAACTAAATCAGGCCTTCGAGGGTTAGAGGGATCGATGACCACAAAAGCTGTACAGACAATTCTCACCCGCTCTCCACAAATCTAGATTCTAAAAAGCATCCACGTGAAGTTATCATCCAAAACTCAGTCCCTCTTCCCTGAAGCACTACTGTGGAATCAGACCTTGCATATATAAGACTAATCATTATAATAATAGATAATACTCCTAATACATATAGCAATAATACAATAATACTACACGCAATATACAATATTTAGAATATAATGTATATAAGATTATGCTTTTAAAATTACAGATGTAGCAATATAGTCACAGATGTCTATAACTTCTAATAGTCAAATTTTAGGAGAAGCAATGAGAATAATTAGAAATATGGTCTTACAAAAAATTTTCTATTGCTATTTCACTTTGAGATGGTCAGTGATAAAATTACAAACTACAGTCGTCACCTTTGAGAATCAGATTTCATCAAAAGCAGCCAACCACTTGAATGTTATATTAGGATAAGTAAGGAAATGTCAAATACTCTGTTGAGATCATACAGAAAGGAATACTGTTATTATCAAGTGAAAACAACGGATTATAAAGAACCATGACCCTTTTAATATGAAGTTATCAACACATATAGTGAGATATCTGAAGCATGGTCATCTAATGTCAATAGTAGAAATTAGACTTCTTGTGGGGATCATTTCATAATGTATACAAATATCAAATCACTACGATGTACACCTGAAATTAATAGAATACTGTATGTCAAGTATACGTCAATTAAAAAAACAAAATCTAAAAAACGGTGCAAATATCTGGGTGGTGGGATTTTGGCCAACTTTACTTTCATGTGCGTGGCTTCTGGGTGCTTTTTCTAGCAGAACAGAACTACAAAGCTCAGGACCCAGGCTGCTGGATTCATATTTCAGCTTTATGCCTAATTGGCTGTGTGATCTTGAGTGAGTTACTTAACCTCTCTGCCTCTCAGTGACCTCACCTATAAATAGGGATGAAAGTAGCTCCCACTTCAGAGTGCCGCGAGACGACTAAGTGTGTTATTAATACACAGAAGGCATTTGGAAAAGGGTATGCAACATAGCAAGCCCTTAGGAACGACCCACCAATTGTAGAAACAATAGTGTTGCTAATACTAAGACGGCTATTTGTAAAACTGACTTCTTATGCACATTAAAAGCAACTACAGAAGCAACTATTTCATGGCCAAAAGGAAAAATGGGAGCAAGAAAGCCTCTGTGCTAAAGTTTAAATAACAACCAAAAAACCAAACCCCCAAAACCAAAAACCTAGCAGATCTACATACTACAAGTATACATACATTGTATGTAAAAAGGAAGATATGTAATGAAGAGATCCCTGAGCAGATATTTTTTCCTTGGATCCGTCACCTCATTTCGGGAGTCAGCATGCACAGCTGACTCAGAGTGAAAGAGGTGCTCCAAGGCAGCGGCTTCATGTGTGCAAGTCAGGGCTCTCAATTTAGCAGCAAAATAGAAGATGTTCTAATGAGGTTAGCATTTGTAGGCCAGAAGATTCGTCCTAATTAAGAAGAAAGAAATCTTGAAAACTTTAGTAGCCTTTATGAACGAATGCTGGGACGAGGATTTATATAAAATGAAAATTATAGAAACGCACACTTGCTTTGTTAGGAGCGGATAATGAAAATGCTGCATTATCCCGAACCCTGGATTCTCTTGCTTTGAGAGAGAGACAATCACAGAATCAATAAGTGAAATAAAGAGCATATTAGCAGGTGGTAAGGTCTGTGGAGAAAAATGGAGCGCAGCAGGGAGGGAAAAAAGGGGAAGCGTTGTTATTTAAACAGGGTAGGTAGAGAAGGCGACACGTGAGCTTGTATCATTTTACTATTTCACTCCGTGATCATTAGCTCTGATGAAAGTTTTGAGCAGGCTGAAAGCTCCCAGTGAAGGCAAGCTATTGGTACTCACTGTGTGTCACTTATCCTGACCATCTTTTTCAACTTTGATAATATACACCCTAGTTATTATATGAATATCCTGTTATAGACAGTCTGTGCTGGTATTATCTCATTTTTTTAAATCTAGAAACACAAGGGGCACCTGGGTGGCTCAGTGGGTTAAGTGTCCAACTTGGGCTCAGGTCTTGATCTTAAGATTCATGAGTTCAAGCCCCACATCGGGCTCTGTATGGACGGCTCAGAGCCTAGAGTCTGCTTCAGATTCTGTGTCCACTCCTCACCTGCTCATTCCCTCTCCCTCTCTCAAAAATAAATAAACATTAAAATCTAAAAACACAAGCTTTTTAAATAATCTTCCCCATAAATATTTTCAGCACATAAAAGGAATTAAGAATAAGAGACAAGTCATTGGCTATCTCTGGTAAGCCAATGTCTCTCAGCCCGTTTCACAGTAAGAGAAGCCAGATTTTCTGTGGGTGACTAAGCCTACTGGACTTCCAACCAGTGTGGCTCAGGTAGAGCTGATGGCAGCTCTACATGTAGGGTAAGTGTATTACCTGGCTCTACAAACAGGAGTGCCCAATATCTCTTGAACGCTGCTACAAAGTATCAAGTTCAGGAGTAGAACATGTGACCCAAATCTGGCCAGTGAGAACCCACAGGCACTGAGACATGGGGTGCAATTCGCGGAGAAGAGATACTATCCTTTGTGGGACTGCTCAGGTGGCAGAATGCAGGCCTGGAGCCACCAACGGAGCCATCCTGGCCACCTTTGGGGAAGGGAAGGAGGTGGGTCTGCCTCATAATGAAGCCAGCCTAGAGGTAAACAAGCAAAGAAATAGGATGGAGCTGGGTGCCTCTGACCATACATTTGGGGGACTCGAACTCAGCCCCACATCAAGAGAGCCACCCACATACATTTTTTCACACAGCGTTGAAGCACATCTCCATTTGATTAAATCACAGCAGCTGGATTCCAGTCGCTTGCAATCAACAGGCTTGCCAAATACAAATAAACCTTCAGGAACCGGGCTCAGTATTTTCCCTAGAAAGCCAAGAACCGCGTACACTTACCCGCTCCTGCCCAGCAGTGTCCCAGATGAGGAACTTATGAAGCTCATTTCCACAAGGCACAGTTTTGGTCATAAAAGATGCCCTGAAAAAAGAGAATCAACATCTCCATGTTACCAGGTGCCCCTACAATCTTCACAAAGGCTCCTGTTTCAGACAAGTTAATCGCCTCAGCGAGACCCCAGAAGCTCCCTCCTGGGGCCACTAAGAGGAGAGGAGGGCTGTTAGAGTCTTATCACCACCCCCCCGCCCAAATTCTGCATTTTCTGTTAGTCCAACTGGAGGTTTAGGGAAGGAAAATTTTTTTAAAAAGCAAAGAATGCATTTAAAGCACTGTGTTTCCAAATACTTTGTGCTGAGATAATACTTTCTATTGTTCTAAGATAATAGGCCCCAAATCTCGGGGAAAAAAAATAAAACCTTAGATTTTAAAAACTTATCATTACAACAATGAAGAGGAACAGGGGCAGCTAGCATTTGGGCATGTCAGAGCTTGGGCCTTGCAACAGCGCAACAATATATAAACCACCTTATATATTGACCTATGCTAAGCATCCAGCACTAGCAGCAACTAATAAAATACCGTATCTCATTCCCACCCTGCTTCTATGCATGCAGGGATAAAGCTTGGTGGTTTACCAGATATTTGTTTTCTCCATTAAAAAAAAAAAAAAGGGAAGGATTCGAAAATCTCAGTAGATAATGAAACACTTGGTACTTTGTTTTTGCATATTTCCTGTTAATAACCTTTTTCTTTGTGTTCATGAAAGATGTAAGGATACAAGACGTCAAAAGTTTATGCCCTTGACTTTTTTCTGTGAGATAAAGCCTCCCCTTCAATAAAAACTCGGGAGTATTCCAAACACGGGACGGGGGTGGGGGTGGGGGTGGGCAGCCAGATGTAATAACCTCCTTATGTGTTGAACACGTCACCTGTGGAGCATTCTGGCCAAAACCATGAACCTTAATTTCATCAGGAAGAAACAAATCAGGCAAATCCAGAAGGCGGAGCGTTTGACGAGACAATCGGCCTGGATGCTTCAAGGAACTCAATGTCATGAAAAGCAAACATAACAAGAGGCAGGGAGATTGTTCTACCATCTAGATTAAGACAGCACAAAGAGATAAAGCAACCAAATGCCCGTTGGCTGGATCTGGAATTAGGAGGGGAAAAAGCTTTAAAAGACATTTTGAGGACAATTGGAAACATTTAAATTTAGGCTCTCTGTCAGATAGTATTGAATCAAAACTAATTTTCTAGATGTGATAGTGGTGTCCTCATTATGTTCTTATTCCCAGGGGAAGCACAGCAGTTTTTAGGCGGAAGGTGTCAGGCTGTCTTCCCTCGCGTCCCATGGCCCAGCTGACCACCGTGTCCAGCACACAGCTCAGCCCTGCACTGCTTGGCACCCCTGCCAGTAATGTTTCCTCAACTTCTCCTACTTTTTCCCAAGACTAAGAGGCAAACCACACAAGTCCCAAGCAGAAAAGCATATGGCCCTGCAATTCCCACACGACCCCCACCACATACACACACACACGCCAGAAGTTAACAGTTCTATTTATCAACCTATGATCGCACTAAATGGAAATTCTAAGTATTTCTCTTTTTGTTTAATGTTTATTTATTTTTGAGAGAGAGAGACAGAGCGTGAGCAGGGGAGGGCAGAGAGAGAGAAGGAGACACAGAATCCAAAGCTGGCTCCAGGCTCTGAGCTGTCAGCACAGAGCCCGATGAGGGGTCTGAACCCACGAACCTCAAGATCATGACCTGAGCCGAAGTCAGACGCTCAACTGACTGAGCCACCCAGGTGCCCCAGTATCTTTCTAAGTGATATGACCCAATATTATCAAAACCACAACTGTCCCATGAGGCCTTCTCTTATAAAGTGGTTAAAATATACACAGACTGCTGATAAGAATAAACATATTTTAAAAATGGAAATATCTGTATTACTTTTCCCATGATATGCCTAACAGAGGCACAATGATGCTTATACCTGTGTGTAAAAGACATGCTGAACACTTATGTATTTACCGTAATTTATAGTAAGAACATGCATTGCCTTTTTATTTAGAAAAATCATTACAAAAAGAATACAGATTGTTTATTAAGAATGATTTTTTTTTAAGTTTAAAAAGTAGAAGGTGAGAATCTCCTCCATCTTCAAAAACCACACTCAGAGTCAATCACTTTTAGGGGTTTGGCTTTTATGAAACACACCAAAGTGGAAAATTAAGGAGAATAGAAGTACATCATGGGGCACCTGGGTGGCTCAGTCAGTTAAATGTCCGACTTCAGCTCAGGTCATGATCATGTGGTTCATGACTTCAAGCCCCGCATCAGGCTATGTGCTGACAGCTCAGAGCCTGGAGCCTGCTTCAGACTCTGTGTCTTCCTCTCTCTCTGCCCCTCCCCTGCTCACACTCTGTGTCCCTCTCAAAAATAAATACATGTTAAAAAAAAATTTTTTTTAAGTACATCGCAGAGAAGAATATAAAGAATTTCTTCTATAAAACTGTTCCTGATCTATGGAATGGCCTGTGTTGGGAGACAACTCCCACAGATCTCTACCACTGTCCACATCATGCAAGCAAAGGCACAGTCTTTTCTCCAGACTATATTTCCAAGGCTGTTTGTACAGCAAATAGCATTGGAGGGGAGAAACAAGGTCTTCCTCAGGAGCAAAGCACAGACATGCTTACTGCCCATTATAAAAGATCTGGGTTCCGTAAACTTGGGTGTCCTCTCTTGTGACTCAACCCACTGCAAGTAGAGTGTCATCTGACCCTCCTCATGTTACACTCCAGGAAATCAGTGCTCAGAGAACCAATACAAAATGACAACACTCCAACTACTGCTACTTTCCCTGTGTCTGATCTGGGAGTCATGCGTCCTCCGCCAGCATCCATGAAACAGGCTAACTTCCTAGCTTGCCATCACAGTTCCTGATGCATACTTTTGTGACGGTGTTTCTTCAACCCATTTTTAAACTGCAAACGGCAGTGGATTTTCTCACCTACACCACTCCGACCACTGGCCTATCAACCAACTGCTGGAGCATCTACTTATGCCCCGTGATGAATCTTCTCCACTTGCACGTGATAGAGATAATCGCTCCTGTCCTCATCAGTCCTTCCCAAAATACATTTTTTTCCCTTGAAAAGAAAACTAAACCTTTGCTCTCTGCAAAGAGCATGATATGTTCAGGGAGAAAAAAAATCAGTGAGGCCAAGTTCTGAAAGAATGAAAAAGCAAGCACCTGCAAAATGGCCCAGCAAAGCACAGCTGGCAAAAGCATCTGTAGAAATGAGAAAATGGAATAGGAAAATGCTCCTATAGTCCAAGGTTGGGGCCTCAGAAGTGAATAATCCACCTCCCCTCCTCAAGCATAAGAATGACAGTTGATTAATCCAGAAAAGAAAATCCATCTGCCCCCACAGACTGCGTGGACCCCTGTGCCGTGTGAGCGGAGAGTGTTTCCAGGTTTGCTGGCAGGCTACCGAAAGCAGGGCCTCTGGGGATTTGTCCTGTGTCTCCTCTTCCATCTGGAAATAAAGCTGGTATGATCTGCAGAGTAATGCTCTTGGAGATCAAGGAGATGGTCTTAGGCTGCAGCCTAAGAGGAGAGTTGGCTAGGAAAGAAGAATTATTGACAGGGACAATGTGGCCGGACGTAATGCCTAAAAGTCCCTGCATTTCTTTCCAAGTCTTTACAGTTGGGATTGATTCTCACTGGCTGGGAGGAAAACTCCCTGCAGATTCTGATACTTGAAGGCCCCCCCGCCCCCCGCCGTCGCAACTAAAAGCCATGTGGCACCCCCTTGCAGGCTCAGGCACAAAGTGACCTCTCCAAGTGCTTTGAAGGGAAGAAATGTGAAAGAGAAGAACATACGGGAACTTACCCAATGGTCGGGCTGATGTTGTGGTCAAAGTGATCCTGGACAAATCGACACACAATGCTTGATTTCCCAACCCCGGTGTCCTGGAAAAGAATGGGGACACAGCCATGAAGACCAAGGGTATCAGTTCTGACCTAGTATAAACATAGAACCAGAGGGCAGGAGAGGTCATCTCTGGTTGGTGGGAGTAGGGGAGAAGGATATTTTCCTCTGTTTCTCACCAGTATTTTCCATAATGAAACTGTACTGCTTTTTTAGAAAGAAAAGAAGTATGGTAAGAATAAGCTTTAGAAACTTGTCCCGCATGTATACAATAATTAACCTAGAACTGGCACGGTCACAATATATGTATTTCCAGAAATTTGGACATTTTTGAAAGGGTCTAGAAGTACGGTAATACAGTGCATTGTTTAGGAGACACAGAGCTGATTTTGTTCAAAACGTTAGCACTCAAAAACTATGTAATCTATTTTTCTGCGTATCACCCTGTAAGACCTGTGAATGCTAATTTCTGCATTTCTAGCACTTTGTCTTCAGAATCTGACGGCTGCATAATAACCTCCAGTTTCACTTAATTATATAAAGGTCTCAGCTCAGTGCTTTCCCTGTTAAATAATTCTTTAAAGCTGATTAGGAAAGGGGTCCATTATATACTGGAAATCGAATACATGCATTTATATCCACTCCCTCCAAAACCCTTGTCCAATGGTTTAAGGAATAGACGGTACAAATTCACAAGGTCAAACAGATCTGGAGATGAGACCACAAGAGATGAGTGATGTCAACGAAAAGCATGTGGCCGAGTGGTCACTGAGAAAAAAGCAGCTGGAGCCCTAAGGGCCATCAGGGAGGAAAGCCACTGGGAAGCAAGACAATTCCTGCCGCAGAAACCCTGAATTTATCAAGAACTGGAAGACAAGGCTGAAAACAGCGTCAGTGAAAGGCTGCACAACAACATACCCTTGGTGCCCCTGGCCGCAAAACCAGAGGCCAGACCCTCCTGCATTCCAGGAAGAGGTGGGAGCTGGGTCTCCAGGAAATCTGCATCAGACGGGGCCGGGCTTGGGAGCTTGTGACCCCCACTACCCCTGTGAGCCCAGACAGAAGAGGTGAGGAGTCCCCTCCGGGTAAGAGGAAAATCCCGCAGATCCTGATACTTGGAGCCGCCCAACTAAAAGCCAAGTTGCACCAGTCTACAAACCCCAGGGCAAACAGCCCTTGCAGTGCACATTTTAATCTTTCAAAAATAAACGCTCTCCTAAGAAAGACCAGATGTTCATACCCAGACACAAAAAAGAGCAGGATACTATTTCAGAGGATTATTCAGGGAGTAAGACTGACCTTAGAAATTAACAATACAACGGTAGAAGTGGAAATTTCAAAGGAAGAGGTATAAGGTAAAATGCAGAGGTTGCCCAGAAAGTAGAACATACTAGAACAAAGCAACTGGCCTCAGCTGCAGGTCACTGCTCTTCTGAGAGGGGTGGCAAGGCACGAAGACGCAAGATTCACAGATTATTGACACAGAGAAGGCCTCCTCAACACATGCTTATCTGAAAGGATCATGGGCACATTTTGAGATCTTTAAGTGAACAGAAAACAAGACACAGCCCAAGAAGAACAAAATAGTGATATGGTTCTCTTCTATTACAGGTGTAGATTTGAAAGCCTAAAGATCCAGGAGGAAATGTTGAAACTTGGAGAAATGTGCTTTTCCTTACACTGCAGTATGAAGTGAGCTTTGAAATACCAGCTGCAAATTTGAATTATTTTTACTCCTTGCCATCCCCCCCCCCCCCCACTGCCCCAGCTTAGGGGACAATTCCAGCCAACATGGAGCAAGAGAGGCCCCAGCTCATGACACTCATCAGAAGACCGTTGTCCTGAAGGTGTCCTATCCCAGTGAGAGTGGCCTTCAATGGTTATGAGCCACACTGAAAAAAAGCCCCGAAGGCCGTTTATCTGCAGCATGTACAGTGATGCTCAGAGTTCAGAGAGGTGGCGACAGAATTAAAACACCAGCTCCTCGGATTCCAGATCAATATGCCGCTGCTATTTCTGAGCTGAGCCTTCCATATGGATTCCGGCTAGTGCGCCTCACAGTTCCCCAGACCCCACAACTCAACTCAATTGTTTCCATCCCAGGTGCTTATAACCTCCCCCAGCCCCCAACCTCGCCCCAGCCCCGTGGAAGAGCAAATCCTGCGATCCTTCGGCCCCCAGATAAACGGAAAACCCAAGGGCGGTGCTGCCCTGCCCTCGGAGAGAAGGAAAACACTTTCACGAGGTGAACTGCTCTCTGCAAACTGCCAGGTAGGCAGAGTGGGGACCTCACCCTACCACTGACCATCCTGATCTGTATTTTTACATATTTTAGGTCCCCAAGCTCACAGCGTGCAACTCCTCCAGCCCCCAGAGATAGCTCTCGGGTTTATTATCCCACAAGGAATCCTAAACAATTCATCTCTGCCGTCTGTGCACCCCAGAAGCCATTCCCATGGTGGGGAGGCAGGTTGATGCGAGCGCCGGTCCCCTCCCTCCCCAGGGCCTCTAGATCACAGTGTAGGAATCCTCTTTCTCGGGCTCTTCACTGGTCCTTCCACAGCCGGGAGAGGTGCCTGGCGGAGGGGATACCTGCACACACAGGTGGGCAGGCCTGCTCTGCCCAGGGCTCAGGAGACAAATCCGCACCTGCCGAGTTTTGCCTCTTTTGGGCCTTCCTTGGTGTCCGTTTGGCTTAAATCCAGGCTCACCCTGCTTCTAAGCTGAGGAAACCACCCCTGTGGAATGCCTCCCGTTCACACCAGCCCCCAAAGGCTCTACCTCTGTAATCACCATGGCATTCAGTCTCTGTGAGTGACTGGCCCTCAGCCTAGAGGGCTTTGGCGAGACTGTGCATGTCACGGTGGGGATTCTGCTCTAGGAAGCACGTTTTGGGTGTGGATCCTTTCACCCTACCCAAGGGCCCTGCTCAAAACAACTGGCTCCAGATCCCCAACACAGCCCAAATGATCCTGCAAGGCCAACCTTCAAAATGCCCTTGAGGATGAAAAACTCACAAACCATCTGGAAATTATTCCTTTGAACTCTTCCCCTTCTACAGATAACTCAGGCTTAAAATACCAGCTTTTCTGAATAATTAAAGCAGCAAGCCTGCTCAAATTCAGGTTACATAGTTCATTTTTCCACCAAATGTGTTTTTGAAACTTAGTGTTTCTTTTTAAAAATTCACTCTCGAAATTTCTCTCTCTTACATATATATTTGACAGGAAAGAAATAAAAGGACAAAAGGACAGGCAAGGTTTTAGTGGGTCCCAGAAAAGACAATCTTCTTCCAAAGAACTGCTTCAAATAATCTTCCGTGGCCAGTGACTTTGTGCTGCTCCAGAAGTGGCCTGCAGTTCCCCATCTGGCCACCAGGGGAAGGCCCTGCTCCAGGTTTGCTGAGCGAGCCAGCCGCCAGGAGACAGGGCCGTGTCATGAATCACTCACTGGGCTTTGTGAGCTCCTTTTCCTGCAGGAACCTCGCTGGTACAGTGACACACACACACAAGGGGAAAGCGCCGGTGAGTCATGATTATTGCATGGGAAAACACAAAGGTTTAAAGCAAGAAAAGCAGAAAGCATACTGGGTGAAGAAGAGGGGACGAGAGAGGGGACCATGGCTGCCCACCAATCTCTAAAGCCCACTTTATTTTTAGCGGACCTACACGGACGGAAGGAAACTCGTCTCTGCAGATATTTTTCCATTTCGTAAGATTATGAGACGAGCATAGTCCATCTTGTCCAATCTCCTAGTTTTGCAAAAGAGGAAGCCGTGTGACTTCCTCAGGGTCACACAGCTGGCTGGTCGAGTCAGAACCTAATTTTCAGAGTTCCAGTGCAATCCCCTTAATGCTCTTACCAGGGTTCAAATCAACCTCCCTGACAAATTTAAGTTTCATCTCCCAAAAGTCCACTTTCTAGAACTCGCAAGGAGTATTTGTATTACTGCCTTTCACAGTAGCATCATGTGTCCTCAAAATAGACACGCTGGGGGTTTTGCCTATAATAAATTTGCGGACATACTCCCAGCTACTGGAGAATCATTAGCATAAAACCAGTCCTGATTCCACACACCAGGAATCAAGTTGAGTAGAATCCTCCCTTGGGGGTAAATCAGTGTTTTGTTATTAATAAGTCTCACTTATTAATCACATGTAAGTCTGTAATTATGAAATCACGAACCACAAACTCGCAGCTGCTATCGCATAAAACACGAGGCGTCCACTTGCTTCATCTGTGGACTATTGTGACAGGCTTCAAGGAGGTGTTCCTACCTCTCAAGACAAAGAAGGGTAGGTCCTAGGCAAACACAGCACTGACCCTGCTCTAATGGAAGACATTGTTAATCAGTTGAGGATATGGTATTTTATTGAACCTGAAAAAGGCCTCGGAATCTCTTCAGCCCAGCTCTGCAGGCAAATCTGTAGGACTCAAACAAGGTGTGTTCCCATGACAAATGGCCATCCTCTACCATTGCCCTTCTCTCCCCAACAGCCAACATGCCCCTACATTCTCCTCCTCTCCAAACTCACTAAGCACTGTCCTGCAGATGTTTTAGATGTCTTTACAGGTGGTAAGGGTCTTTTTGGAAAGTAAGAAGGAATACACATTGTTGATAGCATTATAAGCCAACATGCCTCCTATGGAAAGGAAATAAGAGACTATGCCAAGAATCACAGGCTCAGGAATTCCATTCCTAAGAATATAGTTAAAAGAAGAAAAACAAATAAGCACAAAAAGCTCATTGAAGTATTATTTATAAAAACTAGAAATGGCCCCAAAACATACTGTAAATTAAATAACTTGTGGTATAGACAGTAATCTCTTAAGCTTTAATTTCACACCTACCAAAATGTCAAAGGGGCAGAATATGATTTGCCCTTAATGTGAACTATGGAAATGATCGTTTCAGCACTCATCTAGGGCCTGGGGGTTAGAAAGAACCCACATAGCAAGGGTTTCTTGCATTTATTTATTTGTTTTATTCTGTCATCCATTTACTTAAGTGTTTAGACTTTGAGCCTTGCACATTTCTAAG